CCCAACCGGGTTTTGAACTCGAGACCCGCCACCAACGTTCTGAGCTGCTTCTCCTCAACCAATAATGATTAGCCACCTGGTCCGGTTGAGTGCGCCGCATACACAATGTCAACATTGCGTATACACAATGTCAACATTGCGTATACACAATGCCAACATTGCGTATACACAATGCCAACATTGCGTATACACAATGTAAACATTGCGTATACACAATGTCAACATTGCGTATACACAATGCCAACATTGCGTATACACAATGTCAACATTGCGTATACACAATGCCAACATTGCGTATACACAATGCCAACATTGCGTATACACAATGTAAACATTGCGTATACACAATGTCAACATTGCGTATACACAATGTCAACATTGCGTATACGCAATGTCAACATTGCGTATACGCAATGTCAACATTGCGTATACACAATGTAAACATTGCGTATACACAATGTCAACATTGCGTGTACATAACGTATACAGCGTGTACTGCGCATTGTACGCCACATTCCGCGTGCATTATGCATAACGCGCCGTGTACTTGGCGCATGTGGGACTGCGAATGACGCTCGGGCGTGTGCGAACCCATTGTTTCGACCCGCGGTGCGTCGGTGGCGTGCGTCGTGATTGGACCATACCTCACCGTGCCCGTCACGGTGCCGCTGGGTGGGTGGGTGGACGGCTCGGCCACTGCTCCGCCGTATGTCCGCCAGAGGTCGCAAACGGGTTTTGATTCCTTACCCATTTCCGTACCCGGCCGCACCAGGGTCGCAAATGGGTACCCGTACCCGTACCCGGCCGGGTACGGGTACCCATTCCCTACCCGTACCCTACCCGAAATAAGTGACAAACGGTTACTCACCAGTGACTCACGGCCTACCCGTACCCGTACCCGGCCGCACCAGGGTCGCAAACGGCTACCCGTACCCGTACACGACTGGGTACGGGTAGCCGGGTGTCGGGTAGGGTACGGGTATCGGGTACCCGGTTGCGACCTCTGATGTCCGCTGCGTAGCCGTTGCTAGGAATCGAACTCGGGACGCGGGGGGTTGCGGGGCAGTGTGTGCTGACCGCTATGCCACCACTCCAAACACAAAGATCTCCCATATAGCCTGTAACAGGCTGCTGGGGCAAGTGCTGTTAGCGAGTAGCACCTATGAAAGCCAGCACGGCACACGTGGCGATGTTTACACGTCGCACAAGGTACTCATTTGAGGCTAAGTTGACCTAGGGGAGGCCCAGGACCGGTTCATGCATACAGGACGTCCTCGACTTGTGAGCGTCCGTACTTACGAAGCGGCTTCCATGAAAGGGTAGAACCTGTTCTTATATCTTGATGCTGGCAAGGGAAGTCCCATGATGTTGCTGATCACCCCGAGCTCTCAAGCTCCTCATAGTGACATTGTCTTTGTGCTGCTCGCCTTTTGGCGTCCTCTGAACTAACACTGTTTGAGACTCGGCTCTAAAGAAAGCTGCCTATGGTGTAGACCAATCCGTTTCAAAACAATGCATCGTATACTACCGGACCATGTTTTTTGTTTGCATGTTCAACACAAGTATATGTGGTTAATGCAGACATGATTCTTTGCAAAAGGTTTCAGTTTGGTGTGTATACATCATCACGCAACTGTTTTATTGCCAGAAAAGGTTGAAACCTCTTCCTATGTTCGCATCTGTTTAACATTGACTTCAAACGCGAACTCGCAGTTACAAACTCCACGTCGTGAGTCTGGCTCGCGCTGGGAGTGAGTGTGCACGTGCGGACATGCATGTGTGTGTGCGGACATGCGTGTGTGTGTGTGGATGTGTGTGTGGATGTGTGTGTGTGGATGTGTGTGTGTGGATATGTGTGTGTGGATATGTGTGTGTGGATGTGTGTGTGTGGATGTGTGTGTGTGGATGTGTGTGTGTGGATGTGTGTGTGGAGGTCTGCCCCATGACCTCCTGCCAGCGGGCGTTCGACACTTCACGTGGCCTCAAGGTGCACTTGGCCTGGCACAAGCGTCGTGGCGACGTCACCGCCACTTAGTGGCGAATGGCGGTTGTTGTTGTTGTTGTGTGGATGTATGTGTGTGTGTGCGCGTGCGGACATGCATGTGTGTGGATGTGTGTGTGTGTGGATGTGTGTGTGTGTGTGGATGTGTGTGTGTGCATTTCCTCGTGTGCCATGCTGGCCTTCATAGGTGCTATTCGCTAACGGCATATGAAAAAAAATCCGAGTATATTTTACCCTTTCTGGAAATAAAACTGGAGGTGCTAAGATGTTCCAACACTAACATAGAAACCTTTTGCAAGGGATAAAACACTGCATTAACCACACACCGTACTTGTGAATTAAATGCGAACAAAACGTGTTCCCGGGTCTGTCCCGTGGCCTCCTGCACCTAGCCTGGTACAGCAGTCAACCCACGTCACCTGGGTCTGTCCCGTAGCCTCCTGCACCTAGCCTGGCACAGCAGTCATCCCATTACACAGGTGAGACTAAACCCTGAAGAAGGCTGCTGTCTCTGATGTAGACCAATCAGTTTCAAAGGCAATGCATCATCTATTACACTGGTTTACAGCCAAAAATGCTTCCGAAATAAATGTAGTCCAACTTTACTAATTCTGGGTCACTGAGAATGAAAACGATGCTTAAAATTGTTGATTGGCTCTAGTTTTCAAGATATGCTACTGATACTATTTGTTTTTTTCGGTAAAGTCACGTAGGTAAAACATCAATAAAAATCAATAAAAACAACTAAATTAAATTACGACGTTTCAGAGGCAACACAAGCTTCCGTCTCCGAAACGTCTTGATTTAATTTAGTTGTTTTTGTTCATTTTTATTTATTTTTATTTATTTGTATTTTTTTACCTACGTGACTTTACCGAAAAAAACAAAGAGTATGAATCTTTACAGTCACGAAAGCTTCAAATCTAGAATATGCTACTAGGTCAGTATTTACGACCCTGGACTTGGGAATGGCGGAGGATTAGTGAGTTCTAAAGGGAAGGGATCTAAATTTAAACCAGAAATTACTAAAATACATCTTTGACTGGATCTATGAATAAATCTATGACTGGGTTTTGACGGTACTTGCTTTTTGTTGCTTTTTGAGCAAATCAATGAATGATTCAACCTGGACCTGGTATTGCATCATACACTATGTGAGAATTGCATCATGTTATTCCTAGAAGTCATGGATGATGCAATCATAACTAGGCTTACATCCCTCTGCTGAACAAATTGCCCTCCATCAGCTCTAGAAATAATATTGGTAGGAACCTCCTGGTTACACCAGCCCACATGAGATTATTGTGTCCGTCGTGCAGGGAGGAGCTGGGTGGGGAGGGAGGGGCTGGGTGGGGGGTGGGAGAGGTGGGGCTGGGTGGGGAGGGGCTGGTCACCCCGTGGTGCCCTTATAAAACTCAATGTTTAACCTACTCACACCAGCTTGTGCCCGCCCTCACAGTCGGCCATATTTGCGGAATACACCACGCCGCCGTTGACCCTGGCCATTGACCGAGCAACCCAACGTTCCTACCAGCTCCCTCCGCAGGAATGTGTTAGTGTCATGCTGTCTTATTTGTCAGTGTTTGATTTTGCAAAGGGACACATTTCTGTTGAGCCAAAGTGAGCAGAGATGCCTCGTACTTGTGTGAACAAAGCTGATAACTTTTGCTGTGTTTATGATGAAGTGACTTTTGCATCATAAAAGCACAGTATAACCACTATGGTTGAGAAAGCCTACCACCTTTATTTTGGCTGCAAAATTGGAGATCAGGACAAGATGTGGTCCCCACCCCTATGCTGCAACACTTGTGCAACAAATCTTCGCCAGTGGTTGAACAGGAAAAAAAAATCTAAGATCATATCAGCAATGATTACTTCTACATGGCGCTTCAAGTTGGGTGTGTCAAAGTAGAAAAAATGGACTGTGCATTATCCAAACATTCCATCAGCTGTACGCCCAGTACCCCACGGAGAAGGATTGCCGGTTCCTGATGCACCAGAATCATTCTCACTTGAGTCAGACGAGGAAGAGGATGACACGTCTGGTCCTGAACCATCAAGGTTACATGACCCAGATTTTCTCCCATCCTCCTCCTCTGAACCACACTTCATAACACAAGGTGAACTGACAGACCTTGTCAGGGATTTGGAACTACCCAAGAGTAAGGCAGAGCTGTTGGGCTCCAGACTGCAGCAGTGTAATCTCCTGGCAGGTGATGTTGGGGTTTCCATGTTCCGTGACCATCAAAAGGATCTTGTCCCATTATTCTTCATCCAAGGTGATCTTGTCGCCTGCAACAAGATCGATGGTGTGATGGCAACCCTCAACATCGTTCATGATCTAGATGAGTGGAGACTGTTCATCGACTCATCGAAGATGAGTCTTAAAGCTGTTTTGATGCATAATGGCAATGTTTTTCCATCAATCCCAGTTGGTCATGCAGTCCATATGAAGGAAACCTATGACAACATGAAACAACTTTTGAGGTGCGTAAACTATGACCAACATCAGTGGCAGCTTTGTGGCGATTTGAAGGTTGTTGCTCTCTTGCTTGGTCTGCAGACAGGATACACAAATCACTGCTGTTTTCTCTGCGAATGGGATAATCGTGCGAGAGATTCCCACTACATCAAGATAGATTGGCCACTCCGACAGTCATTGGAGCCTGGGAGGAAAAGTGTTCAGCATCCACCACTTGTTGAATCAAGGAAGATATTGTTACCACCCTTCCACATCAACTACAGAGAGTTGGTGGAAAAAAGTCTTGGTTGTGACCTGTCACTAAAGATACTATGTTTGCACTCTCATCTCGATGTTTTTTCCCACTGAACTGCAGAGCAGTGAGCGATGAGCATGGAAAGCGATGTCACCAGGACATTGCAACAATGGAGAAACGCTCTCAGGGCAAATGGAGCCCATCAATACTTGCAGACGATTGCTGGACAGTGACAAGAGACGCTCCATTTAAATGAATACAAGAGACAAGCCAAGAAGTGCCGAGTAGACACTGAATAAGGTCTAAACTATGTACTTATATACATACACATAACAGTTTTTTGCCATTTGTTTCATAATACATTTTACTTATATAACCCTTTTGCTGATTTATTTAAGTGTTACATGAACAGGACAGGTGACATGTGATCATGTAAAGCAACCATGAACATGCAAACAAGGACATGCTCTGGTTATTATCAGGTGTGTCAAAGAAGAAAACGTGGACTGTGCATTATCCAAACATTCAATCGGCGATACGCCCAGTACCCCACAGAGCATGTCCTTGTTTGCATGTGTAGTGAGTTCAACTGAATCGCAGACGTTGTCTAGGAAGCAACACGTTTTATTGAACTCTCAGCACAACATACTCCAGGCTATTAACACAACACACTCCAAGCTATTAACACAACAAACTCTCGTGGTGGTGACCACCCAACTAACCACGCTAAGGCGAAACTAGACACGGTTCCGCTATCCTGGTCCGGACCACAAGCTGGGTCCCGGACCGCGTGGCTGGAGGCTTCTTCAAGCTTGACGTGGATCTGCTTCCTCTCCAACAGTAAGAACCCCGAGCCCCTCACAGGCCCCCCCCCCCCCCCCCCCCCGCTTGTATCGGGCCGGGCTGGGGCTGGCTCCGCCTCTAGCCCCGCCCACCTTCTCGATCACTCTCGCCTCCTTGCCCGAAGGCTCTCGAAAGTTCTTCTCGGACCACGTGACCACCCATTGGCCCCCTCTACCGGTCGCCCCCCTCCAGTATCATCCGGTCACGTGTCCCCAGGTCAGCCAGAGTATCATGCCCCAGACGTAGCCCTAGCTGGCTGACACTCTCTCGCTCTCTCAACGGGAGTCCGCACCGCACGCTGTGCGTGGTGCATGGTGCCACCGCGCTTAACCAGCGCTCAACCGAGCCCCCACTAGGGCTGGCACTACACCCCGTGTCCCGGGTGTACACACAAGAGGAGACATCCCGCCATGGCCTGGCAAGGCCGGCACTACACTGACATTACCAGTCACTACGCATGTCCACCACAAGTCCTGAGTGTGGTTAATGCAGTTACTTGATTCCTTCTGAGAGATATCGCTTTGGTGTTTGAACATCTTAACACCTCCTGTTTCATCTGTTTCATTGGCAGAAAGGGTAAAACCTATTCTTGTTTTTTTCATACTTTTGTAATGATTTTCGGACAACTTCTTGTCTTCATTGTTGATACTATGAGACCTCCTTTACCAGCGGCAAAATATAGTAATAGGTGTTTACCCTTTCAACTGGTAAAGGAGGTCTCATAGTGTAAATGCTTACCCCGAGCTCTCAATACTCTGATAGTGCGCTGTCTTTGAGTTGTGCGCCTTTTGGCGTCATCTGGTCCAACACCATGTGAGACTAGGCTCTAAGAAAAGCTGTCTCGGGTGTGGACCAATCAACTTCAAGGACAGTGCATATCATTATCAGAGTTGTTTCTTTTTGTTTGCATTTTGACTGCTTGTGTTGTGGTTATTGCAATCATGACGCCTTGTATAAAGGTGTCAGTTTTTGTACCAGTTGAAAGGGTAAACACCTACTACTTCATTGTTTATATTTATTAAGGCACGCCGCGCAGATAACGTGATCGCGTATCCTGCAGATATTTGGGGCTAGGATTAACATACAATTACTTGGGCTAGGATAACAACAGATACATAATCCACACGCAAATGTACAATATTTATTATTTCAGTGAGATTAACCATGGCTTCCCTTTTGTGTTGAACCGTAACAATTTCCTACCGCTCACCGTCTGGCTATTGTTGTGTTCCGACTTACGAACGGGTCGCATGAACTAATTATGTTCGTAACCCGAGGACTGCCCCGACATACGCACACGGTTGTACAGAACTCACATGCCCACACGCACACCACACATCAACACAGACAAAGATCCCCCGTATAGCCTTTAACAGACTGCTGGGGTAAGTGCTCTTAGCGGAGGCACACGAGGGGAGCGGGTGGCCAGCACCACGCCCGGCCGCCTTTGTCTCCCCGGCGGCGATGTTCACTGCACACCGCACCAGTGCCGGATTAAGCTAGTGCGTGATGTTAGAAAGGGGTCCTGAATTAAAAAAAACACACAAATATTAAAACACATCTTTTACTTGCATAATAAATTGTATTTTTTCATTTGCTATACAGTCAGATGATACGAGAACTCACTAACCTTAAACACCCAGTCGTTCATAAAAGTTAAAGGCAGTATGGTACTATAGTGATAGAGCAAGTGCAGAATCACTGAACCGGAATTGATAATAGCTTGAAAGCATTTATCGCGGGCCTTGCGGCCCGTAGCGTGTGCAGCTACTTTTGCTACGAGGATCACCCGGCACTGCACCGCACCCAGGTACTAATTTGAGGCCGAGTAGACCTAGGGGAGGCCCAGGACCAGTTAAGATATCCGTGTTGGCCGTGGGCGGGAATCGAACCGGGGTGGCTGGGTTCGTCACACAGTGCGCTCACCGCGGGCACTCATGCACGTCCAGCCGTTCTACCTGTGTGTCGACCTGTCTGCCTTCCCATCTGTCTCTCTCTGTCTGTCTCTCCACCCCCCCCCCCGTGTCTTCCCCCCCCCGTGTCTCCCCCCCCCCCCGTGTCTCTCCCCCCCCCCCCCGTGTCTCTCCCCCCCCCCGTGTCTCCCCCCCCCCGTGTCTCCCCCCCCCCCCCGTGTCTCGTCCACGTTTTTGTCTGTCAGCTTCATCACGTAATCTACCAGGGTCCCCCCTCCCCAGGCCCCCCCCCCCCTCGCCCCCCCCCCCTCGCCCCCCCTCCAGCCCCCCCACGCCCCCAGCCCTCCCCCTCAACCCCCCTCCCCGCACCGCCCTCCCCACAGAATGGAATCCCAGATTAGCCTCATTATCCCGAGAGCTTAAAATACCAACGGCAACCACCACAGGTACAACCACGACCACAACAACAACACAACAACCTTGACCACAACAATAACACAACAATCACCACCACAACAAAAACACAACAATCACCACCACAACAAAAACACAACAACCTTGACCACAACAAAAACACAACAATCACCACCACAACAATGACACAACAATAACACCACCACCGCCACGTGTGTCCCCGTACGACTGTTGCACTGCGCTAGCGTGAGCGATGGCGTGAGGAGCCCCAGAGTGCAGCAGTGGAGAGAGCACGGCTCGCTACGTTCACGCTACGGAGCGGCCGCGGTGGCTAGGAGATGTTGACTACCTCGCCTGGTGTGCAGGAGGTCGTGAGTTAGATCCCGACCCTGATGCCTGTTGCTGTGTATTTGGAGTATGCGTGTCTCTCTCTCTCTCATCATCACGGTGGCTAGGAGATGTTGACTACCTCGCCTGGTGTGCAGGAGGTCGTGGGTTCGATCCTGACCCTGTGACGCCTGTTGCTGTATATTTGGAGTTTGCGTGTCTCTCTCCCCGCGGTCACGTGGATTTTTCTCCGGTTCCTTCGTTTTTTCCCCCTCTACGTAACTTGAAATCAACGTCGCCATGCGTTTAGGGTATTTGACTGCTTTACATTTCCACGCGATGATGGTGACCCACTTGGTTGAGCTGTCATCCGTGATGGCCAGGTCTCTCTCTCTCTCCCCCCGTGGTCGCGTGGATTTTTCTCCGGGTCCTCCGGTTTTTCCCTCCAAATTATTGAATTAGCGTCTCTACATGTTTCGAGTATTTGGCTGCTACTCTACATTTCCACGTGATGATGATGATGACGATGATAAGCCCACTTCGTTGAGCTATCATTTGTGATGCCAAGGGTCGCTTCTGAAAAACGACTCCATCGCTCGGTGGGGTCTTGCCTGGTAAAATAAAAAAATTGTTCAAATAGTTTTAATGGGATGCTGTTGGTGGCATAGCGGGGTTGGGGGGGGGGGTGTATGGGACGCTGTTGGTGGCATAGCGGGGTTGGGGGGTGGGTGTATGGGACGCTGTTTGTGGCATAGCGGGGTTGGGGGGGTGTATGGGATGCTGTTGGTGGCATAGCGGGGTTGGGGGGGGTGTATGGGATGCTGTTGGTGGCATAGCGGGGTTGGGGGGGGGTATGGGACTCTGTTGAGTAGCATAGCGGGGTTGGGGGGGGGGGTATGGGACGCTGTTGGTGGCATAGCGGGGTTGGGGGGGGGGTATGAGATGCTGTTGAGTAGCCAGCGTTCACCCGTGAAAAATGCGCTGAGCTCAGAAACTTTATTTAGATTTCTAATATTGGGGGAAGGGGGGCGGGGGCGTTCAAAATGGAGAGAATATCGAAATCTGATGAATCCATCCAATGTGAATCATTTGTGTGTCTGTGCGTTGGACTTCTTTCGCACTGCACGTAGCCAAGCATGCTCACGAAGCTGACTGAAACGATATATTTCTTATTTTACCAGGTCACCGAGTGAGACCCCCTGCGGCTTTTTTTCAGGAGCGAACTAGCCAGAGATGATGGCCAAACGAAGTGGCTTCTTATCATCATCATCATCACCATCATCACCATCATCACCAACACCATCATCACCACCATCACCATCATCACCACCATCATCATCACCATCATCACCACCATCATCATCACCATCATCATCACCATCATCATCACCATCATCATCACCATCATCATCACCATCATCATCACCATCATCATCACCATCATCACCACCATCATCATCACCACCATCATCACCACCATCATCATCATCATCACCATCATCATCATCACCATCATCATCACCATCATCACCATCATCATCACCACCATCATCACCATCATCACCATCATCATCACCACCATCACCATCATCATCACCACCATCATCACCACCATCATCACCATCATCACCATCATCATCACCACCATCATCATCACCACCATCATCATCATCACCACCATCATCATCATCACCATCATCATCACCATCATCACCATCATCATCATCACCATCATCATCACCATCATCATCATCACCATCATCATCACCATCATCATCACCATCATCACCACCATCACCACCA